AAGGGCTAATAGCCAGACACTTGCGACACTTACAACATGAAAATCTCAATGGGCAATTCTCCACTTCAGCAGAAAAGGTAAAACCCATACAGAAAATTTGTAAGAAACGTAAATAACCGTATTTTGCACTCTCTTTCGCAGGTGACAAATAATTGAATCCAAATGAAAGGCAATGCGACAATCGACAATCAAATACTTGTCCGAAAATCTGTCCGATTGGCTGGAAATAATTCACTTAACCGATAATTCCTGGTACCATCACTCGTCACTTTGGCTGGGAGCCGGAGTCGGAGCCGTGGCCGGGGCCGGGGCTCTCCTGGCCTGCCAAACACTTTAGTGGTTAAACAATGGATTTCTGTTTTTGCAGTTGCATAAATTTCGGGCTAAAAACAACCCAATCGACAGAGAGAGAGAGCCCAGGACCCGCCCATTCCTCGCCCTCTGCTCGGTTGCATGTCACAAACGCTAAAACAACATGCACTTAAAAAAGCCAGAAACATCTCGTACTCCCCGTACTCCATCCCCCCCACCACCCACCAGTGCCATCTCTAATGGCCGTTGTTGTTGAGAAAATAAACAAAATGCTTGTTGATATTTTGTGGCAGCCAATGAAGCAAACAACTGTCTGTCCGTCCGTTCGTTTGTCTTTTGTGTGTGTGTGTGCGTGTGTGTGTGTCCGTAGCATCCGTTGGCCTGCAGCGGAATCGGACAAAATCAACAATACAGGACTCACAACCGACAAGAGAAGGAGTCACACAACAGACAGAGACACAGCACGTGCAAGGGAGCCTTCTCTCTCCCTCTCCCTCTCTGCCTCTGTCTCTATCTCTGTTTCTGGGAAACAAAAGCAGCTTCCATCTGCCGCATAATTGCAAACAAAAACTGAACGGAACTCAACGGAAAATATGTATGCCAATGCCAATGCGAACCCGAATCCGAGCCCGAGACCGAAACCGAGACCGAGACCGAACCTCGACTGCAACTCGAATTGGAACTGTGCAAAGTGTTATCACATTTCACTTGGAGCCCGGCTCCACTCCACTCCACTCCACTCCAGACCCAACGACCCACCCATCATCATCGCCTCGCCTCGCCTCACCTCATCAAACTTCGGATGGCAAAGCGGTGGAAAGCGTGCCACTGGAGTCCCCAACGAAGTAACAGTCAAATGAGAAATGTCAACCGACCAGGTCGGCGCTCAGGTTGCAATCCAGAGGATGCGACCCCACAGGCAGGGGCTCCACCGAAAGAGGGACACTGATTGGGAGGCTGAGCTGTAATTTGGTGCTCCGCCAGTCGTCACTGATGGAAACGTGAGCCTATGAATGGATTTAGGAACCAGGTCGGAACCGCTTTTTGAAGCACACAAATGGACGATCAATAGATCGATAGATTGGACCTAGGGGCAGATGGATGATGGATTGATCAATGCCGATTGTAGGAACCCCTGTTCTGTAATCGTTCAACAATGTCGTAACATGTGATACGTCCACTTTCGATGGATACTATTAGTACTCCACTTTCCACATCGAAAACCCTCCAATAAATCCATTTATCCCCGTGTATTCGGCAGAATAGGGTGAGGTCTTCCCTCTGGTTCCGTGCTGCTGCTCCCCCTTGTTCTGGAACCAATTCCCACCGTTGTTGGCGACAGATTTTAGCCGCTTGTTAGTGGCCGGCAGTGGCTTCATAAATACACACTCTGACGGGGCCGGGAGTGGGGTTTGCTGGGGCTCAATCTATCGGGAGCCTTGTCACACGCTGCGCTACACCTTCGAACCCCACTATCGATGGGTATTTTTCTGCAGGTTTTCCTTCGGTGCGGGTCTCCGGGTGTGTGTTTTGTCCGCAACAAAGCAACGTTTACAGCATCAACCGCATGAAGGTACACAGCCAGGGAGAGGGCGGGAGCTGGAGCTGTAGCTGTAGCTGGAGCGAGATCCCAACCATATAAATAAACAAAGCTCTGGTGTAGCTCCTCCTGCGCCCTGCGTCCTGCGTTCTGCGTCCTCCTCCTTACGCACTTTGTCGTGGAATGAAACGAGAAGCAAACTGTCGAAACTGTCAGGATGTCAAATAAGCGACAGTGGGTAGGGAATACGACTACAGACCGAGAAGAGCTGGGAGATCGGAAAACAAAACAACAACAACCAGCAGCAGAACCAGGAGCAGGGGTAGGGGCAGAGGCAGGAGCAGAAGACCACCCTAGGCATATTTATTGGAAATCTGAAACCGCTCGAATGTCCATGTTCAACCCCGCTACACTACAATCCACAATCCACTTCAGGCCACCCACTTCCCCCTCCACCTCCACTCCCACACCCACAACCACTCCATCCGCCTGTATCCATGTCCGGCAGAAGGCACAAAGAATTTGTTACATGAAATTGTTAACGGGCTGGAGCTGGAGCTGAAGCTGAAGCCTTGACTCTGCGTTTGATGCCTTTTGCTGATATATGGCCAACCTTTGACATCCTTTAAACGAGCAACATGATGCTCTAGATTATGGTCCCGGGACCCAGGCCGGTCCAGGACAGAACAGGAGATTGCCTGGGTGCCTGTCGCCTCGCCTCGCCCCGCCTCTCTCTCTCTCTCTCGCTGGCTGGCTGCGTGTGTCTCTGGTTGTCTCACTTGGGCGATACGTCAATGTGACAGTTTGATAATTTATTTTGTTCAAATTTTGTTTTTCCTTCTGCGTGTTTTGTGTGTGTGTGTGTGGAAAAAGCGCTTAAATAAGTTATCAACGGGCTTGGGCCATGTAAATGGCAGCACGTAAATGAATGAAATTATTTTGCAACAAATTAAGGCAAATTTATGCGTCAAGACGACAGGACAGGCCAGGACACTGGCAGGGCCATGGGCAGCGTTTTTCGGGGAAAAATTCGGGGAAAACAGGAAACACAATCCACAGGCAAACAAACAAAAGCGAAAACGGAACGGAACGAAACGAAACGAAACCAACAAACAAACAAACAATGAAACGAAAACGGAACGAGGCGAATTCTCCTTCAGCGAAATCTGAGCAAAGCTTTGTCCCGCAAAGTGCTGCATGGGGGGAATCCCCAGCCTCCTTCAAAGTGGAGGCTAACTGGTGGTAGCACCACACACACACACACACACACACACAAAGGCAGCTCCAGCTACAGATACAGATACACTCGTATATTTTTTATTTCTCTGCCTCTCGCCGAATCAAATGTCAATAGAGAGTACATTTCATTCAGTCGGTTGATGCCTTTTCCACCTCCTCCCAACTCTGGCTCGTGGCCTTCCCGGCCAGAAACATCCTCTGCCCTCCGCCTCCGCCTCCGCCCCCTCCTCCTGCCGGTGGCCCCGTCCCGCATTGTAGCTGTCACAGTGTTTGTTTGCGGATTTGAAGCTTTTTCCTCTTTGCCAACGCGCTTTTTTTCCACGCTGCCCTTTCAAGGAGTGCTCCGACGATCAGAGGCCGAAAGTAACCGAGAAGCTGGGATCAATACTTATAAGAGGGCAGAGATATATCGCTTGGAAATGGAGAAGTTTTCGGAATACTGCTGTACCCATGATGGGATAAAGAAAGATATTTCCATTAGTTTTCCATTTAATAGATTGTACATTGTAATAGAAGTCATGTCGGGAGCCTATTCTTATCTATTTTGTTAAATAACAGATCGAAAACTGCTAGATTTGTAAGAATAGGCATAAGAACTAGCTGAATTCCAACAGAATATTACATATTTTTGTTTTATAGATCAAGTACACTATTCCAACAGGGTTCAGATAATCTTCTAGCAGCCAAGCAGTCTATATATTCCCTTCATTGAAATCATTTATTGCTTGAAATCTGAAAGAGCCCTTTGAATACTTCATCTCAATCCCAGAGCATCTCGTATTCGTTGGCTTTGGCTGGGATCCCTAATCTGCTTTCTGGTTCTGATTCTGGTTTTATTTCCGGGGCATCTCCTTGATGCTCCTCCACTCTCCATCTCTGGCATCGCTGCTGGCCGAGCTGCTCGTGCTTTGGTTTTTATTTGCACGGAAATGTATAATTTTTCCGAGTCAAATGTAAATACTTTTAGCGTATTTTAGTATTTTTGTGGGTTTCATTGGGTGCTCTCTCTCCCTCTCTCTCGCCCCACTGGTATGTGGGGAAGGGGGCGTGGCGCATGCAAATGACACGCCTGATGCTGCGTAAATAATTTTAGCGCTCTCCGCTGGCATGAAATGCAAAATAAACATTTTATTTCAATGTAGCCTTGCCTTTCCTTCGACCGCGCCAAGAGATGCCGATGCCGATGCCAGTGCCGTCTTTGAATGTGGGTCAAATGGTGGCCAAAAAGCGAACTGTTATCCAAGCCAAGTGCCAAAATACAGTTTAATTATACATATACTCGTGCAATATGCAGTGGTATATAGTGTGCATATAGTTTGCCTGTATATAGGAGTAAAATGGCGCGATTTGGTTGCGGTTACCATTTTGCGGTTGCCGAAATGTCACGTTTCAACAGCTCAATTTCGGGTTTTGAAGAAAACTTTCGAGTCCAATCCAATTAAATGCCGAATATACATATCTGTAAGCCAGAATCTCGATTGTCGATTTGACAATTTATGCCGGGGCGCTGTTGGAACGCCAGTCGCATATTTATTTGCATCGTTCCATCGCTCCGTCGCTCCATCGCTCCATGGGATCGGCGGCTAGACAATGATGCCTGCGGCCCAATAAATAACACTCTTCTGACACAATCGAAATTGGCTGGCAAGCAAATTCCTTGGGGCCCTCCCTTGTCGATGTCAGCTGCGGGGCAAAGGTCAGACGTTTAACCCGCGTTTCGGCGTGCAAATCATGCCCCAAAAACGAAGCTTGACATCAAATTATGGAACCCCAGTCGGCTCCATAATCGAAAACAAAGTTGGCCCTGGGCCCTGGCCCTAGTCTTGTCAGAGGGCAAACAATTCTCAATCTCAATCTCGATCGATCTGTAGACCGACTAACATACATAAAATTATACTGGGAATATATATTTTGTTATATTTTGAAAAAACGAAAACGAAAGTGAGAAAATCGCTCACCATGAGTGCGCAGAAAAATCGGGGCATCCTGAAGGACAAAAGCTTCCAGAGCCTGGGAGTTTCAAAGACGACCTCCTTCAACGAGATAAGTCTGATGAGCACCACAGAGCGCGCCGTGCGTCCCGAGATGTACATGGACCACGATCCGAAGTCGGCCCGTACCAGCATCAATAGCTTATCCGCGGCTAGCTTGGCCGAGGAGCTGAAGAGGGTGTCGGAGAGCAATCAGTTCAACTTCGACATCGACACGGAGGATGATTCGTCCGACGACGAGTACCTGGTTTCGGAGACACTCCTCGAGCGGGTGCAGCGACTGGAGTTCGAGCGGCGCCGCTCCCTGCACTACACGGAGTTTCGAACTGTGCAGCTGGCGCGTCGCCTCATTGCGGAGGAGTTCTCCACCTCGTCGGAGACCGTCGAGAGCGAGCATGTCCGCAGCTTCAAGAGCTCGAGCTGTGATGCCGAGGAGTGTCCATCCGCCGAAAGCAAGGAGTCCGTGGGCAACAAGAGCTTGGAGCAAATGATAGCCGAAAAACTCTTCTTGGAGACGCAGCTCGCAGACCAGGACGCAGAGCCGGAGCCAGAGGTCGAGTTAGAGCAAGGATTCTCGCCCTCTCATCCCTGCTATCACAAGCTGACAGCCAAAGACACAGCCCTGCCGCAGCAGGAACGGACCTCAAAGTCCAATATCGTTCCAATTTAAGGTGCGGCTGGGCGATCGAGAGTCCCATGCGTTGCGGGGAGCAGCTGGGGCCAATTTCTTCTTTAATTTATGCCAGTTACAACGGCTTTTGCGTTATCAGTTCTACATAAACGCCAAGGGGGGTCGATCATACAAACATTCTATAGTCGTAACACAAAAATATCACCCTCACTTTTTAATCAAAATATTTGTACACAAAAAAAAAAATAAATATTGGCAATTTTGTGCCATAAGAGGGATTGATAGAGGAATGCTTAAACACTCATTGTTTAGAGCAGCGCTGGCACTTCACTGTTAAGCTGTTAACAGCGCTCTGTTGCGCTCTTACGATGCACACGGCTCTCACCGTTTGGTAGCATGTAAGCTAGATTTAGTTTCGCTCCCACTCCAAATACGTACATACATATGTTTGTATGTATATAGGAAACATTCAATATCCACGAAAAACATAAAGCTATATACTACAAACACTCATATCAAGGCATCGTCTAAAAGAAGGCAACATATTATTATTGAATCGCGGTAGGCTGGTAAGTGGAAGAACAATTAGTTTTAACTTCACTGCTTGATCGCGGCTGATTACGTCTGGCTACTGCGATTCTCGTTTTACGACTCCCTTTTTGCCATTCCTCTTCTTCTCTGCTGTGCTCTCCCTCTGTCGTTACGGCTTATCTGCTGTTCATGCTGTTGCTGTTGCTGCTGATTCGCTCTTTGTCTGCTGTTACTCTGCTGCTGATATGCTGTTACTGCTGTTAATCTGCTCTTACTGCTGTTGATCTGATATTACTGCAATTGATCTGCTACAGATGTGCTGTTACTGCTGTTACACTTAATGCTGTTACTCATTTATTACTCTGCTGCTGATCTGCTGTTACTGATGTTACTCTTATGTTGTTGTTCTACTGTTACTCTGCTGCTGCTGTTAATTCTAAACACTGCTGCTTCCATAGCCCTGCTTGCCCACTTCTTCTTGTGTTGTTTTCATTTGAATAGACTTCTACATATACATATGTACATATGTATGTTGTTGTTGTTTGTTGGGCGAAAACCACATCCACAAGTTATTTGTTATTAATAGTATATGTGCATATGTAGATGTTTCACCGGCCAAGTCTTAAGCACACAGGAATTGTTATTGCTGTAACAGAGAGAAACACAAAAGCCCTTAGCAGAGCCAGGCAAGCACACAAGCCCGCTAAGTCAAGGCAGAGCAAATACAAAGACTTTCTTATCCAGATTTAATTCATGTCTAAGGCATCTATTTTCGCGATTCCCAAAAATAGTTGGAGAATTAATCATGGCGCCAATATCCAAGGATTCTTGTGCCTAAATTTAGGTTTCCTTTGAGCTGCGCTCGTCAGCTGTTCCATACAGGGTATGTCCGCACTCTGTGATTATGTGAGTAATATAACCAATCTGTATAATGGCACCAATTCCATAACACTTAATTCCCATTGTCATATTTCATATTTAATATTCAAATTTTATCCTCGCTTTGAAAAACTTAATATTCGCTTTTGCGGGCACATCGTTGTTATGTTTCAGTGACAATTATTCCATTTATGCGTGTATTTCCCTCATTTTTCCACACTCGTGTCCAGGGTCGAGGCACAGCCAAACATAGTTTGCGGCTTCTTTTCTTTTCTCTTTGCTGCATTTTAATTACGAAAAATGTATTTCCACTCATATTGCTCTCACTTTCGTTTTTATTTTGTTTGTTTTTGTTTTTCGTTTTTATTCCCTTTTTATATCACAAAAGACGAGGCTGCTGCTGTGTAATTTTCACCGAGCTCTGTGCCCTGCCTGCTGTTCGATGTTTGCGTAAAGCTTAAAAAACAGAAATAATTGGTTTGGATTCTCTTTCAGAAACAACCCCATCGAGGGGTTCGACCCCATCACATGAGCTCGGGGAATTCCATTTTCACTTTCCACTGGGGCACAAAAAATACGCACGAGAAGCAGCTGAGTCGTCGACTTTTACTAATTTAACGTTCCTCTCGGCCATAAATGGAAATAAATATCACGTCATACGATCTGCATCGGCTAATGACGACTTTGTTGTCTGTTGTCTGTCGTCTGAGCGGGATACTCGTAACGTTAGTCGAAATAAAATAAATTGTCTAGACACTGTCGGGGTTGCTTGAACCCCGCTGCAGTCCCAGCTGTGGTTGTCTCAAATTCAGCCAACGACGAGATTTCAATCCGTACTTTAGTACATTGTGGATACGTTTACGTTTATAACATTTAATTGCCTTTTGTTTTTTAGTCCGTGCTCCCCTTCATCGTCACTTTTAGTCTTGAAAGTTTCAGCACTCGTTCAGGTATTCAGCGCATAAATTGGAAGCCCTTCAGATACAGGTGTATCTGGCCATATCCCCACAGATCTGGCTTGTATTACCCAATGACAAGAATGTGCGTATCATCTTCAGTAAAGTCTTTTCTTGGATACGCTGATAATTTTCCTTGTGGTTTATGATTTTACAATGTTACCGGGTATCTAACTGTCGTTATGCCGCCCCACAGAATGTGACTCGTCATGCTGATGAATCAAGTCGAGTGGCTCACAAGGACCTCCTCCTAATCATCATAAAAACATTGTGGCCAGTCATCGTGCCTTGTGTCAACCCGATCAAGTGTGTCCTTGTTTCGTGTGTGTCTATATGGCAACCAAGAGCGCAAACACAAATCGTTTGTTGTCCTGCCATCGACAGCATTTTGGAGAGCCCTACCAGTTAATGCATCATCGCAGGAGGATCCTAGTGGGCACTGGGCGACGGGGGGACGGGGACAATGGACAATCATGGAGGGTAATCGGAATTTCCGGCGATTGATAATCAAGTTGGTCTGATTGAACAGAGTATGAATTCACTTGAAGTGGCTGGATTTTGCTTTGTTCCACTCCAGAGAGGATGTTGTTTGAGGGCGTCCTCTTCTGACTTTTAAGGCACATAAGGCTGTGTTCCCAACATTGCTCATGTTTTCATTTGTGGCCTGTTTCTTTGGCATCTGAATTGAGGAATATAATTAGCAGGCATTTGGATTGGCGGGGGCCTAAACATATAAAGGCTTACTAGACTATGAAGAGAGCTACATGGAGATATATTCGGGTACTAGAAGATGGACATTAGCTCTTCTGATAGTGACGCATTGGGCGTTTCCAGAGCAATACGACAGAAAACCCGATCCAAACCCTGGATCCAGAATCGTTCAGATTGCTTGCCTGATTGTACTATAATTATCTGGCTTTGGCATCAGGGTACACTCGTATTGCTTTGAGAGTCACGTGTCGCCGAATTGGCCCTAAAAGCCAAAAAATTATAGCCCAATGTCGAGGGCGGGAGGTGCAAGGCCCGAAATTAGTTTACACTTGAACTTTGCCCTGCCCGCGGCCCCTTCACACAAGGGGACAGGTCATCTGTCCTCTCCCCTCTCCCCACTCCCTGCCACTGTTCGGGGTTGCCTCCTTTTGATTTCTTTTCGCTGCAATTGCAGTTGCATTCGTTTCGTGTTCATGCATAAACAAAATGGCTGCTGCAACAACCGGAAACTGACAGCAAACGACATTTGCGATATGCATCATATGTCTCCCCTCTTTCGCCCCATTATCCTGCCACCAGTTCCAATTCCTCCCGCGCCACAGCTCCTGCTGCTGCTGCTGCTGCTGCTCCTGCTCCTGCCTCTGCTCCTGCTCCTGTCACAGTCAACGAGGCAGCTACTTGGCATATTTCTGTCGTGTCATTGTTTCTTGTGCGTCTTTTTTGCCAGCTCGCTGCAGCTGGTCCTGTTCCTGTTCCTGCTCCACCGAATGCCCCATCCTCCTGTCTGCGACGGTTAGCCTTCCAGGTGCAATTATGACGGCGGGCATCGTTGTCTCTCTGTGTGGCTGCACGGGAGAGTGGGGCGGGGGCGAGGGCGAGGATGTGGGGCATGTGGCAGTGTCAGCGACACATAAACATTACATCATCAGGCGACTTTTTGTAACTGTCATAAAATGCCAGCAACAGCAAAGAGAGGAAGAAGCGAGCGACTGTCTCATCGCTTGGAAGATCAAATGCCCTACCCTGCTCTAGGGAATACCTCTATTTTGTTCCTCTAGATTGGATTTCTTATCCAATCTACCCACAGATTATAAAGGGAACTGGACACCATTTATTTTGTGGAATAGCTGCCGAGACAATCGGTTATGACTCCATCCGATAGAGCATCTCGAAATGGGCATAGAAAAAGAGACCAAAAAAAGCACTGAACAAGCTGAAAACAAATGAATGTTGAATGCGGCAACAAGATGAGAGCACACATATCGTTCCCGAGCTGCAACTACACCGAAGAAAACACAATATCATTGGAATCAAGAAGGAATATCCATCCTATAAGCAAGGTATCGATCGATACGTTTCTTGTACTCTAATGAAGCATGCCCAGAATATTTCTGGTGCAAACCCTCTGATTGCTTAATCCGATTATCCTGCGAGGCTTTTCGGTGTTTTTCCAGTGTACTTCTGGAGCCACTGTTGATGCTGTTGCTGCATTTCCGGCTGCTGCTGCGCTGCTCCTGCGCTGCTGCTGCTAAGCCGGCGTACTAAATCCTCTTCCTCCCCCGACCATGTCACAGCTCTAATGAGCTGTGTGTGTGTGTGTGCCTGTGTGTGTATGCATTGTACCGCTGCATTGTTGTTGACGCTTCAGCTGGCATATGACGCTTGTTAGGGAGTTTTTCTCATCGCTGTTGTTCTGCTGTTTCTTTCGCTGTATGTTTTATGTGCGACTCTCCTCGCCGCCGTCGCCGTAGCCGTCGCCGTCGTGGGGATGTGGATCTGGATGGATGGGGACTGTGTGCCGGGATGAAATATTTTCATGAGTTTTGACAGTAATGTGTCGCAATGTTTGTCCCAGGCCTGCAGCAGCGCAGCGCCATCTAGCGACGGAATGTCAGCCATTGTCGTCTGTCAAGCAGCCCTGATAGAGATGGAGATAGTAGGAGCCAGGACGGAGATGGAGATGCTGATAGTTCGGGCAGAGCCGCAGCACGAGGGGATAGAGAGAGAGAGAGAGAGAGACAGCGAATTGTTGGAGTCCCGCTGCTCGGGCTGCGAGTGTTTAAGCGTTGATTACACTTTCGTGTTTTGCCGTCGCCTGTCACTTGTCTCTTGTCCCCGCACAAGTTGTACTGTACTGTACTGTACTGCACTTCCCTTCTCTTCCGCCATTGTTCTTGCTGGGAAGTGTGTTG